GCGAATCAAACGCACTTACAGAGAGAGAGAGAGAGAGAGAGAGAGAGAGAGATTGTATGAAAATTGTGTTAATTTGAAAAATGATTAGCATTACATCCATTCATATATTTATATTAGTTTTAATTACACTATTTATAAATTTTTTAATAAATTATATTTATATATATTTTGTTTTTTGTTATCTATTAATGTTATAACAACAGAGACGCCAATCGCCAGCGAAACTGACAGACACTTCAATGAATTAATTATTTTTTGTTTCATTAATTAATTTATAATTAGTTTTGTGTTTCAATTAATTGTGTTCAAAATGTTTTAAAAAGGTTTTTTCAAATTAGTGTTGGTTTGCGTTTCCAACAAAAATTTTTCTCAATAAAAACAGTTAATAATTCATTAGAAAAATTAGTCCAAAAAACACAATACGTTTAAAACAATAATTGTTTCATTCATTTTCATTAATTCAATAAATTGTTGCAATAATTTAACGCCAATTAAAAAGCAAAACCAAAATCTAAGTAATCATTGCATTACAACTCCCATTGAATACCCGATAATATTGACTACAATTATAATTCAATTGTTAATTAACTTAACTGATATTAACTTAATTATCGACTCGTGTTTTATTTGTTAACGTATGGCAACAATCAGTTGTGAATTTTAATTTTCAATATATTTTATAGTTTTTTGTATTCATCTCTCAGTAATAGTCATAATAATAATTGTATTGTTTTTTGTATATAAGAATCAAATAAAAAATTATCCATAGATTTGGTATATATTTATTCCATATATTTATATATAATATGTATATTTATTTATAATATTTATATATAACTTATATATAATTATAAGCACTTAATGGTATGAAAAACAACTCCTCTTTTTTCTCGGAAATATGGATTAAATTTAATTTTCAAAACACTTTTTTGTTTGTCTTTTACTATACGAGTCATACGAATGGGTAAAACATTCAGAAATGTATTTTCACACAAAATTGTCATTTAAATAACAAAATATGAATTAATTTTGAAAGAAAACACACCAGAATTGGGGGTTACCGTCACCCCAACCATCTTAATAGGTGTGCAATTCATATATAATAAACCGAGTCGTGGAGAGAGAGAGAGAGAGAGAGAGAGAGAGAGAGAGGCCTAACTGTTTGAAAGTCCCATTCATACAAATGTCGCACAGAATTTAGTTTTGCTTTCATTTAATTTACAAAATTACAGAATTTTTCACATTATTTTCAAATGAATTAAATATATATATTTATAGACTAATCGCCAGACAATTAGTAGTGCTTTTAAATGCAATGTTAATTAATCGCATGCATAGTGTGTATGTAGAGAGAGATATATAGAGAGCGAGAAAGAGAGAGAGCAGTCATTTTACAAGTATTTTTTGGCCACAAAATAATAATAAAAACTTTTTCCTTATAATGCAAACAAAATAAAAATATTTCACTTTTAAGTGAATTTATATTACAAAAGACGTATATATTTGCCGGAGGTTTGGGGGCCGGAGAGGCGTTCGGCACCTGATATTCACTATCATATTATAAGCCATTTATTTGTATTGAACGCAGAGTTTGTTATTTTGTTTGTATGGTTTTGTCAGTCAAACAAACATTTAATTAATGTACTTTTAATTAAATATAAATGTTAAGCCGTTTTGTAAATGAATTAAAACATGATTTAATGAATGTATTAATAAAAAATTAATTAAAAAATTGTCAAACATATGGTATATAATAAAGACTACACTTATAATCGACTATAAAATTATTACAAAAACTTTAAAACAATAATTGATTAGAAAAACAAAAACAAAATCATCGCTAAAATGATTGTTTAAAAATACAATAACTTTAAAAAATTGAGTTTTAAATTATAAACTAATAAATAAATTATAAGATTTAAACTTAAACTAAACATGAAATTGTAATTTAAAAACAAAAACAATTATCGGCAGGACTTAAATGGTATATAAAAATCAAGCAAATTGTCGGCCTATCTATCAAATTGTGTTTTGTGTTACATCTGATCCAAAGATGGAAGAGATGTATGTGTCTGTGGTTTACGTGTTTGTGAGGCTAGAGATTGAGATCTACAGCACAGGTAGCCATACATTTGTGTGGTATATAAATACAGGTAATAATATCTATCGTCGAGAAGCTGTGGTGAGTGAGTGACTAGAGTTATGACAGAGAAAAACACGTTTAAAATTTATATAATTATAATTTCATATATTTAGCGCCGAATTATTTGTAGATTTTTTAAGTCTTTTAAGTCATCGTTACGTTTATACGAGACTTTATGACCAGAATATTAATCAATCAATTAATTTCTTATGTAAATAAAATTCATGTTAAAAATATGTTTCTTAAACTCTGTGTTTTTGTTTTGTCTTTTTTGTATACTGTTTTTTGTGTCAATAAAACTCATAATAAAAAGCAATAAATAATTAGAGAAGACTTTAAGAGTGTGTGAGAAAAATGTACATAATTTTCACCAAAGAATTCGTCCAAAAATGCATTAAAAATCAATTTTCAAACATTGATACGAATGGGAAAATAGAAATAATAATACAAATCCATTCATCAATGGATCCATTGGGTGGTCGGACGGGTCGACACGGCGTCGGACACTCGTCGTCGGCTGTTGTGGTGGTAGTGTTGACAGTCGTGGCGGCGATCACCGCACGGACACAGACACTCACTAACCCCCGCAGTGTGTGGTGTGTGAGAGAACACAAATATATGTAAATTAACGGCTATAAAGGGGGGCACAGGTTATGTGTTGGGAGGGCCCCCTTCGCACGAGTATAGGCCCGGATTGAACGAGTCGTTTGTGAACGTGAATCCGCGGAACTCTTCCTGATTTATTGAACGCAACACTTCGGCGTTCACTGGCGTCAGGATTGGCTCCTCTTTCGTGAAGTCCTGATCAAAGTTATTGACGTCTCGTTTGGTTTTCTAATCATTGAAAAACACAATCAAATCAATTAAAATCTTTATCGCTTTAATTATAAACAATAACAAAATGCATACAATTTTTGGTCGAAACGGTGTCCGCACTTTCTTCGCGTTCAGCGCATCCCAATCAATGTCTTTAAAGAAGGCGTGACTGAGTATCGCCTGTTCCCCTCCCTGTGTCACAACACAGCCCAACCGTTTCGCCGGATTTTTCGTCATAAACTGCAAAACCATTGATAAAATTTAGTGTCCGTTTCATTACATAATTACTCATCAAAACGTTTACCCCTTTAAGTATAGAAACGGCTTCTTTGGTCAACCAAACCGGGTATAGGACGTCGTCGTGAAGGATCGACTCGAACAGGTCCTCCTCGTTGTCGGCCTCGAAGGGCGGCTGTCCGGCCATCATCTCATACATCAATACGCCTAACGCCCACCTAAACAACACATCACCAGTAGATCCCAATCAATACTACACGTCAACAACAAACACAACTCAAGACACAACACATACCAGTCAACAGAGGGTCCGTATTCTAACTCTTGTAATATCTCGGGCGCGATATAGTCAGGAGTGCCGCAGAAGGTGGTAGTGGTGGTGCCGTCGGCGATACCCTCTTTACACATACCGAAGTCAGCGATCTTGCAGTGGCCGTCGCTGTCCAACAGTATGTTATCTAATTTTAAATCTCTGTTTTGGTCGCAAAAAATAATTATCAAATACAGGACGAGTGGGAGAGTAGGGGCGGCCTATAGGGGCCCCTATAGTTGTGAGACATACCTATAAATAACACCATTTTTATGGAGGAACATAAGAGCTAATGTGACTTCGGATGCATAGAAGCGGGCGCGCGGCTCATCGAACTTACGGGCCTTTTGTATCTGAAACATAAGGTCTCCGCCGTTCACGTACTCCATCACGAAGAACAGCCGGTCCTACAGTTGGCACACAAATCAATCAATACAAATATATATAAATGAAAGCCATTGAGAGGACAGACAACAAGACACGTCACGTACGGGTGTTTGAAAGCATGAGTGCAGTGCTGTGAGGAACGGGTGTCGGGCCGAGAGGGCGAGTATTCGCTTCTCAGTCATCGTGCAGTCGACGTCGTCGTCTTGAAGGATGACATCCTTTTTGAGCACTTTTACGGCGTATACTTCATCCGTGCCTTTCTTTTCGGCCAACATTACCTGTGAATCAAAAACAGGCATTAAATCAATTGCAAAAACTAAACACATTATTAATAACAATCGCATACTTTGCCAAAACTTCCTTTGCCTAAGACTTTAATGAAATTGAAATCGTCTAAACAATACCGACGCCTGCGGTCACCGTCGGAGCCCATCATATGAGCGGTTCGGTCCAACACTTGTTGCAGCGCCTGATCCCTATCCCTATCCCTAAACGATAGTCGATTGGTGGGCACATCGCCGGCGCCGTACGGCTGCTGATCGAGACCGCCGGACCCGATGTCAAACCCGGTCGGCAGCGGTGAGGTATTCGAGCGTTCGGTCACCGATTGCGGGAATCGATTGGGAGACTCACTAATCGATGTCTTCTTCTTTTGTCGCCCAGATTTGTTGAGTTTTTCGCCCGAAATACCCAATCCTTGCAACACATCGGCCAACACTTTGGCGTTAATTCCGCAATTGTTGGCCACATTGTTCTGACATCTCTTGTGGACATTTATATCACATTCTGTGGTCGGGTTAG